GTCCTTACGGTGGCCAATTAACTCAGTTGATGAAATCAAAGTTACTTTGTTAGTCCCTCCGACGCAGCACCAAGGTTTCTTTAGAAAAGTGATAATAATAGTAAGGATGTGATAATGATGATGACAACAATAACATTGAGAGTAAAAACGATAATTATGAAAATATAGAATTGACTTGGAATGCCTTATTTCATTAGAAAGGGAGATTTTCCATGAAACAGACCATTTGTGACAGATGCGTTTTTGATTCACTCATTGAGTAGTGTGGTGGAGGATTTGCACCAGACAACTCCAGATTTTAAATTCAGCATCTAAAACCATGTAACGATGCCACCTCCAAAGCTTTCTGTTTAAAATACAGCAACACTTAATGACATGGTTAGAATAAAAAAAGAGCCTGTTGGTAGCATATCTGTGAATCAATAATCAGAACATTCCCCTTTTGAGGTTAAAAATTCGTCAACAACATTTAAAGTGCTCAGAAAAGGAAGTCAGTAAATACGTGCTTTTTTTTTTTTTTTTTTTTTTTTTTTTTCACCAACAGCATGGTGCTTCGCGTGGGTATACTGGCAACAAGATTTCGTTTGGGTGTTTTAAAAAAATTGGATGTGTCATTTGTATCAAACAACATTGCAGTTCATGTTGTGCAAACTTCACATGTCGAAACTTTTGGCAAAAAATGTTATGTGACAACAGACAAGAACTCCAGATTTCAACGCATAGGCTGCATTCCATGTGAATACAACAAGTTATGTGCGAAGCAACCGGTATGAGTAATAATGTATCACCTCGTATCCTAATCATTATCATATGGTCGTGCGACTCGCGTGTACAATCTGACTGGAAGAAAAAAGAGAAGGGTTTTAACTGTAGAATCTCCTCAGTAGTTGTCCAGTGCGCGCCCTTCTTTTGTAAACAAATACATGTACAAGTACGTCCTATTTATGCAGGTAGTAACATGATTTCGAGAGAAAGTTGGTGATAATAAGCCCGAGTAAATCTTTCAAAGACAACAAAATTGTACGAGTCCGTAGAGCAAGGGCAAATTGTAGTCTTTGAAAAAATTTCAAGTGCTTATTTACACTAAATTGCACTCGAAATCATGTTGTTAATTGTTGATACTTTACATGAAAAAAAGCATCACAGAAAGTCAAAACAAACGAAAATTTGACAGCGCGTGCTTTTTGTAATTTGTACTCGTTTTACAACTTTGCACTCGTGTTATATGAAAAGTGCACTCGTTTTCAAGCCAATCAGATGCGCGTAATTTTTTTGATATATATTATTGAGGGTAAAACAAAATTAAAAAAAATTTAATCACCAAGTGGTCTTATCATAAAATGCCTATTATCTTTTTCCTAAATGCTTGAACACTTTTATTCCTACGACAGGTAACAGACACTTCCATATACCTTCCTCCAACGGGCTTTCTAAAAATACAACGTGGTGTCAAATTTCAGTTTATAATCTATGCCAATAGCAAACTTTTTCCGGAACTTACAAATTCAAGTGGAGTACAAACTAGTAGAGAGGTGTCTAGTACTGTGATGTCAGCACAGTTTGGTGAGTAAAGTCACTCATACAACACCACAACACTCACCAAAAGGAACTTTATTCACTTGTGTTTTTAAACACTCGCAACCCAAGATACTTGGAAAAGATTGTCAGCAATTCAATCAGAAGTTTGTGCTCCTGAGCAAACTTAGGATATTTTTTTTTCCTCGGCGGTAATATGGTTTTCCAAAGATTGCCATATACATGGTACATGAACACGTGCAAAGTACCTCGCTGCTATTCGCAGCCTATCTCTCCGTTTTTCTTGTTTCCAGCTGTGTTATTCAATCCAAAATTGACTATGCTTTTTTTGTATAACTTTGTTTCTAGAAGGGATTCAGTTGACGAATCTCTCTCATCCTATTATCATGGAATTCAAGAATCATCAGGTATTTACTTAAAGATTTTTTTAATTGATGATGTTGTGATTACGTAGTTAAAGGTGGCTCGTACCAGTTTCCTCGCGCGGGGAACAGGTCACTCTTGCGTGACGCGCGCGAGAGAAACGTGCGAAAGAAGCGCGAGATCAAAAGATGAAAATTCAAAACAAAGATGGCAGCGCGTGGAATTTTTTCTACTTTTGTGAGAAGTTTACCTAAGAGCTTGTATTTGATGTGTTGAGCGGC